GAATAAGAAATCGAAAAGAGCCCAACAGTCCAGCCGAGCATCATGCTAATAACATGAAGCTTTCAAATATTATATGCTGAGTATATTGAGTCAGAATAAATCACTATTTGTACTTTAGGTATCCTAATATCACGAGTAAAGGCGCGGGGATTTTTTTTGAAAACAGCACAGACAGCTGATGGACTTAGATATTAAGAAAGCTATATACAGTGCTGCATATTGCCTGAAGGTATCGAGCGGGATAAGTCTCGGTTTCCGAAATGAAGCGAGGCAGCTAAACGGGCTTCAAAAATCGAGAAAGTTTGTTCTATACTCGTGAAATTAGGGTAAGTCGCACACAGCCCGTGCAAGTTTCGCAAACTTTTACTCCAAAGCGGTAATAAACAAGCCCTGATACGAACTTCAAGATGCAACAAAGTGATATATAAATAAACCTCCTACAATTTAGTGTATGCCTTGTAACAGTACTGAGAATAAGTGAATCGCTAAAATCATGAAATTTTTTTCAAAAGTTTTAGCGTTCCGAATAGTCCTCATCTGCATCCTATACATTTTTTCAGTTAAAATTCTGCCACAAAAAACAGGTTGCTAATATTGAGAAAACATAAAAACATAGAAACCTTTCTCATTTTCTACTTGTGTAGCAGACTGCAGTTCCTCATTCCCAAACATTTGGTGAAAACAGCTTGCACCAAATCTTATGACGATCCAAACACTGAGCTTTCTTCTCAGGCTCATATATCAACAAGTTTCACTTTCAACAGGATATCTTATTCGTGCAATAAAATATGCTTACGATTAGTCACATGGTGAGCATGAGAGAGAAATTTTATCCGCAGCTATGACCCTAAAGGCATATGAGACAGAGGGTGCCAAATAAATAATTTCAACAGGGTCTTCACAGCAGAAGTAAATCAAATGACGCAGTCCAACAATTTACCTCAGTCAGTTCAATCGCTGCAAATTGACTGAGGTATGGAAACGTATTGGTCAAGAACCATAGCGCATAAACTTTGAATCTTAGTTGAATTAAAAGGGCCGCCTATCAAAATGGATCGCGACATTTTATCATAATTAATGAAAACAGTATGTAATTTTGCTCCAAAAATCTGAATAGTGTAGAGGTTTTCGTGTCACTTCAACTATGCCTCTATTCCACGTTGAACCGTAATCCCACTTTTTGCTCCATTGTAAGCATTCGTCAAATGGTGAAGATACACTGAGATTATACATTCAAATCATGGTAAGCGCTATGTTAAACTTTCTGCAATATCACGATCACAATACTTTTATCGTATACTATTCAATGTAATCTACTAAACCAAATTTTGTTTGAAGGAGAGTGAAATAAAAATAGTTAGTCGCTTTGGCGAATGAGAGAAAGTATTGCAAATTGCGTATTATAGACGTAATCTCTGCGCTTGGGATTGATGAACGTACTACGAGAACACCTCTTACATAGAATCTGCAGGTGTCATGCTTTTTTGAATAAAGAGGTTGGATAGAGTAGAACTTTGTAGATATGAGCTGCGAAGTGCCTGGGACCAAAATACTCTCAAAGGACAGGCATGATGACTGTAATGATCTTCAAATTCAGGTAAATTCCTTAAACAAAACCATTTGTTACAAGGCTCAAACGACAAAAACTGCAACTAAGAGGAATATGTCTTAGAAATGCGGTAGAGGGAATGAATGCTAGAGAAGTATAAGGAGAACGGCTAGGAAAAATAGGCAAAAGTATCAGAAAAACGGCTAGGGAAAAATGAGCCAAAGAAAGCAGCGATAAGCGATCGTGTACGATCAAAGCAAGTGCGAGAATGGATTCATCAAAAATGTTTTTAGGTTAAGTTTAGAAATAAAAAGCTCTTTTCTTTGTTCACGCAAAAAAACCTTTGATAAAGATTACTCAAAACACTTCAATGTCCTTTGAGCACAGTAATTTTGTTGTTTTTCCCGCATTACTTTATCACTTCCGCAGGGCTAATGTCAAGCCTAAATTTCGTTGAAGTTTCCTTGTATAAGAATTCAATTCTTCCCCACACATTAGGGCACTTCAGGAAAACTCGCTCAGCTTTTCGAAATCCGGTGTTTATAATGACGAATAAGAGCAAAAAAATATAGCGAAAGCGTTCGGGACAAGCGAGACTAGTAACAGGGCCCGGCACAAGGGAGCCAAATGAACTCCTGTGAAACTAAACGCCTTTGCCGCTCTGAATTCATGAATTCCGCTCTGATTTCCTCCTTGTCCGCGCCAACTATGCAGACTGCTTGAATAAAGCGCGTTTTTTCCTCTGAAGCCGCGACTCGTTTGCTATTTCGGACACAGCAAAGAGGAGGAGTTTTGGAACCAAAATATTGCTGTACATCAAGCATTGTGCGTAAAAAGAATTTATGTAGGAAATGTGGAAAACTTATGCGTGGAAGCTTTGTCAAGTTTTCCAAATCAAGTGAGCAATTGCCCACCTACTCAGAAAGACGGTTCGCACACCGTTTATTTACATAAGTTTTTCATAATTATCCATATCTTGTTCCTTGAATCTAAGGCCTAAGGCATACCTCGCGCGATTCCTGTCGCTGCGCGATTTGGCACAACAGCGACTCTCTGTAACTCGTCTTCGATGCGTTTCCTTTGGTCAGAATTTAACCTATTTGCGACAACTTACACAAGCTATCCGCTTATGCGTTCGAGAAGCGCGCACGATAAATTTGTAGAAATCTGGCATATCGCCAGGTCGCGTGAAAGTGGCGATTTGTCCAAATCGCCTGAGGTATGCCTTAGGCCTAATGCGCATATGCATACCAAATTTCGTGCCTTATCTTTCCCGTGCGTTGCAAACGAGGCATTTTTTATCTTTAGGTAAAAACATTTTTAGAAAGAGCTTATTTTTCAGTTACGAAATTTTCTAGCAATCTTTCTAGGCTTGTTTCTACTACCCCTTCTCCATACACATATCGAATTTCGTAGCATAATCCTATGTGTACGCCATAAATTCATTTCTCACTTGTGCAAAGATACTTTTCAAAATGGCGTTTTGAAGACGTTAGCCATGTAAAAATCTGGTTTTTGCGGGGTTGAGAATGTCTGAGGGGTAAGTAATGTATACAAGTGTGTGACCATGATAAAACTCCTTTGCTTTTTCACATAGAACGATTTTCAGCCTAACAATTGCCACAGTGTAAGCTGAGAAAAGTCGGAAAAGTAGGTTGCAGAATTGTATTAGGTCATCTCACATGTTTTATCAAATGCTGCCAACTTCGATAATTAAATGAAGGCTTAAGCTATTGATTGATAGAGCAAAGCAAGTTTCACGAAAAGTTTCCCGAGCAATCGCCCCTTCAATTCAAGTACCATTCAAAATGGAAGGCTTCATTAGATTTGCATATGGGCGGATCACCCATCGCCCTTCATCACTGTAGAATTATTACGGTATGAACTTCCAGCATACAGCGTCATTGCGAAATAAGCGATCTGAACAAAAAGTTCCAACAACCGAAAAGTTGTGTAGCAGTGTTTTTAGACATGCTAACTTTAACAAACAACTGCTTATGAGTTTTTAACAGTTTCATATTGTCCAACCACATTTTTCAAGCACTGAGAAAACGTCGTTGCGGTTTACTTGGCATGACTTATGAAAAAAGTCTTGCGGTAAAGTGTATGTATATCATATTAATAATCAGCGACTCACTTTAGCCTAATAATAAAGTGTTTGTATCGTTGTGCATCTATTCTGGGCAATACTTAGCCACTAATGGCTCAAAACCCTTTTCAAAATTCCTATCGTAATCTTACAGTGATGAAGAGCGCTGGATGATTTCCACCCTGGATGATTTGTAAATCTAAGTCGAAGGCTCCTTTACTGAATGTTTTCTGAAGCTAAGGAAAAGATTCAATTGGGAAGAGAGATGTTAACGATCAAAAAGTGTTTACTTGCTTTTGGGACACCCTACATAACACATATAACGGAGCTCGATAAGTCCACATTTTTAACATCTATTCCCGTACAAACAAGACAACATGGATGATATATGCTCTACCGGAATTTCGAAAATACACTAAACATCCCTACTTCAAAAAAGCAGCACTTCAAAGCACATCTATAGTAGGCATTATATGAAGAGTGGTGGATTCGCGCCCACTTAGCCTTTGCATGTGTAATGCATGTGTTTTCACCTTTTAGCATTACCATTTTTCATAATTTCGAGTCAAAGCGAAAAAGATATTTGAATTCTCCTTTGGCTGCTTTTGATCCTCTTTCCATGAAGGAGACGAGAAAAAAGTTCGAGTTTCCCTTTGGCTGCTTCCCTCTTTCCATAAACGGCTTTATTTTTGCAACGCTTACTGAAACACTAACAATTTTATACGAGGTTTCAAATCAATGATATTACAAAGTTGAGAAGAAGACTACTTGATGATTTTACGGAAACGGGGAGGGGGGGGGAGGCACAGAAATGTAATGGCTTGAGGTTATTCCACATAAGAGCTATATTAACGAAAATGAAGAGCAAATCTTCTTTAAGCTCTTCAAGCTGAATTTATTATGACTCAGAAAAACCCTTCTTTTTCTTCTCACAAGAAACAGAAAAGGGCTACCTTGCAAAGTTACTAAAAGTGCAACCTCTGAATATGAGCGTTTTGATTATTCATTAATACGCTTACTAAAATAGGTTACAGAGTGCGGAACAAAAGTGCTTTGCCAGAGAGATCGCGTTAAGGGGTAGCGACAGATTGCAATTACTATCTCCATTGTCTCCTCTAAGACTTTTTTGTCAAGAACTTCAAACTCGGTTTGAAGTTCTCGACAAAAAACTTCATGCTCAACTAAGCAATTGACAATTCATTGTAATTCGAGTTCAAATTTGTCGCTGTATGAGAGAGATCAAATGCACTAATTCATCAAATTTGTTGGCTTGTTCACCTATTCACAATACGCTGCGATAATCTCATGATTGGCTCCTAGAGTACCACTTTAAATAGCCTGTACTAGACGCCTTTGGCACTCATGTATGCTCGCATTATCTTGGTTGTGAGTCTCTCATAGAGCTTTTTGTTCAGAGTCTATAATTTATTTGTAGGTACTCCTTCTCAATGCCGTTAGAAGAAGTGAAGGTGAAGCTGGTGGTATAACGAGCGAAGATACAATCGGTGCTGGGGATACCGCCGCAAGATCTGAGAGTGCTGGAAAAAACAATGGTGAAGCTGAAGCTGTTGAAACGAGCGAAGATAGGACTGAAGAAGGAAGAAATGGTGCTGTGGAGACCGTCGCAGGGTCTAAGGGTGAGACCGCCGCACAAGGAGCAAAAAATGGCGTTGCTCCTGGAGGAAGTAATGACGCTTGCGTAACACAAAAACATGCTGATGAAAGTGGCAGCGCTGGCGACGCTGGCAAAAAGACTGAAGGACACCTCGTTAATTGCCAGACGATTGCCAACAGTGCAATGGATAAATTCATAAAGCAATCTCCAAATGCAGGAAATAATGAACTATCGACTCCACCACTTGAGGTGCTTTTTTGCTTTTTCGATATCTACCTTATTTCAAAGCTTAGCATTTTTCGCTCACTCAACGTTCTTAAAAAAAGCAACGGTTACGTTTCGAAAATTTTCACAGAAACGAGAGCATTTAGTCTATTTCAGTGTCACTCTTTTGCTGTCGATTTGAGCAAAGGACCTCATAAAGATTTTAAAGCTTTCTGTAAATTCGTAACATATGACGTCAAAAACCCAAAAGAGTATGTCAGATTAAAGCTTGACTAATGCTGCAATAATTTCACTGTTTTCAGTATGCGTGAACATCTCACAAAACTCAACGGCACCGAATTCTCTAGACTAGCTT